TTTTTAGGCGGGTTTACTTTCAAATACAGATTAGAATAATGATTTCGAGCAGTATCATAACTACTGTCAAAGACAAACAAAACTTTGCTTTGCCTGAGTCCATTGGAATAAGAGTATCCACGCACATTGAAGTACAGAGTATTCACAAAAGTTTGTGGGTATCTGAGTTTCTGTTGAGACTGGTTGAAAGGCGTTGAAGTAAGCCATTGCCAAAGCTGCAGCTCCCATGATTCTTTCTTGACCAAGAAATTTAACCCCAAACTCTAGCCCACACCGTACTCCTTATCTTGTTCGAGTATGAAAATGGATCCGCTCAAAAAATACGATCTGCTGGAGTCCAAAAATGTCGCCCGCATAAACTATACGAGCACTGTTCAGGCATTGACCTATAGTCATCCTCCCAACAAGTATCCACATAAGAAGTTTAGATACCCAAACTAGAAAACTTCACTGGATGAAAACTCACGCTCCTCCAGCAACGGTCTTATTGCATTTGGAACAACTCCAGATACCGACAGCTTTGCGTTTCATGGCTTCTTTTCCACAGAAAACACATGTGTATCGCGAATGTTGCGTCACTTCCATTTTCTTGACCATCTTACGTAAAGACGCACCATAGCGGGTGCCGTATTTTCCGACAATACCGACCTTCTTGGTGCGCTTGGCCATTGATAACCCTGCAAACAGTGAAGTTGATGTGAAATGAAAAAAAGAATACGAAAGGATCAAGAACGAAAGAACCGTGTTGAAGAAGGAGTGCTTGAATCAAAAACTGCTTATTTTAATTCACAGAACTATAATCAAAGCGAATACAAAGTACTCCATAAATGGAGTAAAAATTGCCACATCACAAAAATAACAGACTCACAACTCTTTAAACCGACCAAAGAAGATGCAGCTGGTACTAGCAAGTCTATATATAAGTACACCACTACGCTCACGAAAACATGCTCATTGGCAAAGGAAAACGAAAAATTGCGAATTTGTAGGCCAGAAAACTCGAAAACGAGAAAAATTGGAAATGACTGAGTATCAGCTTTGCGGCACGGTTAATTGCCTGCGTATGTTTGGGCGGAGCGCAAGCTCAATGGGCCCGCCCCCTTCCACGTCGCTTGAGTTTAACAATCTTTTGGAATTTGTTTCATCCACTCTCAATCATATTTTTGATGACCTTTGATTGGAATTCAAGTAAAAAAGTTTTTTTTCGTTTTCTCATTGCGGTTGTATCGTTTTTGGAGCTATTTTATGCCGTTTTTTTGCAGGTACTTGAACTGAAACATGGGTAACAGTGATAGTGTGCCTATTCCTGGAGGTGGCACTGAAGGATACCATGTGTTGAGGGTAAGTGCAAGTTTGTCTTTTTTTGCATTGCTTTTATCATTCGTAAATCTACGCATTCTTCGCCTGTTCTCATACGAAAAGGTTAAGTCCATTATGAATTTTATTGCTTTGAAATCAGTACGCGAACTCTGCAAAATTTTCAGTAATTAGTTCAAATATCTGCATCCATGGAGTATGGCCTAAAGGGAGCCGAAACTCTCTGTAGTTTTTCTACTACGTTAGATATCAGAGAAAGGCATATATCTAGTGACTATGCTAGCTATCTAGGTTTGCGTCCTTCATCCCTTCTCTTTCTTTGTTAACTGTGGGCATACATCACAAAGCTTTCAGGATGCCTCGCATTTTAACCTCAAATGCATCAATTTACTAAATTCAGTAGACACCCAATAGTCAAATACCTATCTCTTCTTGATAATCATTTTTACCTTTTGATAGTCTGCATTTTCTTATGCTAATTTCGCGTTTTACTTTCTTCTGTCTAAACTGCAGACGATTGATAAAGATCCGTGGAAATTTGTTGGATTTTGCTCGCTTGAACATTTCACGATTATCTTAATAGCACAATTGGTTTCTTCGTA